ATATTGCAGGACCAGGTAGTGCTCCATTCTGTTATGAACACGGTCATTATGAGTGAACTCCAACTGGTATGTGCTTAGCCACAGCGAGTCTGAGCACCTTGTGTTTCTTGGTGATTTGAATATATATATATTTTTAGTTTTTCCTTTTATGAAGGACTTATTCACATCTTTTGGACATTTTGGGTGTTGGTCTTTGACTCTTTCTCTACGTCTCTGTAGGGATTATTTATTTACAAGAGAATTTTTTTTGCCAGTTATATGTCGCACACATTCTCATTCTGTGGCTTGTTTGTTCTTTATGTAATAGCATAAACACAGAAAACCATCCAAACAAATGCAAGTCCAAGTAAGCTTTATGAGGCAAACACCCATGGAAACAAACTCAGATCAAGAAAAGGACGTTTCCCAGCCACAAATTCTATGTGTCCCTCTCAATGACATCTCCCTTTCTCACTTTTCGAACTTGTGTATTAATAACTTCATTATTTGTAACTGTTTGAACTTGTAAACTGTTTTATTATACTATTTGTCTATTTTCTCCCTGTATAGTGCTTTTACATAAAGAATATTGACCACTTTTAATTGAATCCCTTTAATAAATCTTTTCATTTTGGGTTAAAATTTTTATTTTCCATTTAAATAATCTTCTCCGTTTGTGAATAAATCCTCTTATTCAACTTCTAATTTTATTGTTTTGTTTTCCAAAGTTAATGCTTTGATACCAAGTAATTGATGCAAATTTCTGTTTGTTGCTTATGATGTCATCTAGGTTAAGTTTTGCTTTTCTTATATGGTATGAAAATTTCCTTTACCTGTTATTGGAAAAACTATAATTCTCTCACTGCTGAGCAAAGTTATGTTTGTCATAAAGCAATTGCCTATATATGAATGAGTTATTGGGGCTGCACTCTTTCCCCACTGTTCTATTTATCATTATTGCCAAGAGTACCCTGTAACTATATAATGACACTTGATGTCTGGGAGAACCCACAATTTCATTTTTTTTATCTTCAAGAATATCCTGGGTATTTGCAAGTCGGTACAAATTTTAAATAACCTAAATTGTCCTCCCAAAGCTAATTAAACCTCTTGTTCATTGGTATCCTTTGAATAGAATACAAATTCAATGGCCTTTAATACAATATTGAGCCTTTAATCTCTATATAAAAAATCTACATATAAATGTCTTCATTTACTTCTTATAAAATATATAATTAATTATTTCTAGTTTATGTGTAGAGAATTTTTAATATTTAATTTTTCCCTAGGATTTGATATTTTGAAGCATCTATAAATGATATTTCTAGAATATTTATTTATTTTTGGCTACTTTGTAGGGATTCAATTGATTGATTTATGAACTGTGCACTCAGAGCCATAGTTAAATTTGTTTCTTAATTCTATTAATTTATAGGCAAATTGGGGTGGAATTTCTGACATAAATGATCATAACCTTAATGAAAAACGAAATTTTTCTTTCCTTATAATCCTATGTCTTTTATTCATTATTTTTATTCAGTTGACTAATGTCTGGAATTATAAAGTGAAGTAAAAATGATGACAAGAGCTTTCTTGCCTTGTTCATTTTTTAACATGTTCCTTATTAACACAGAAACATTTAAACCTATTCAGAAGTTTGCTGTAATATTTTAATGCACAAAACCTTCATAAGATTAAGGAACTTACCTTCGAATAGCTATGGCATTTCTTATTTGATTGAAGGCTAGTCTCCAAGTATATATCTTAAATTCTAAACATACAGATATTTTCCAGCTCCAATATATTTACTGATTTCTAGCCTAACAATAGTTGTAAGTCATCAAGTAACAATCCCTGCCACTGTTGCTTTGTTGAGTCTTATATGTGTAGCTTATTTGGACAAAAGTATGGTTCAGGAACTAAGTTCCTGATATTTTCCTATGATATTTTCTAGATCCACAATGAACAGATGAATTATTAATATTTATTTATTAGACTTTATAGCTTCCTTGATTTAATAACTTATTCTTAGGAGTGAAATAAAGTAGAAGGAACACCCTCACAACTGAAATAGTGACCACAGATTTTGCCAGCACATGTGATAGAAATGTCCCAATAAAATAAATGGAATCATGGCGAGGGGTAACTTTTGACAAGTTAGTGTGTATAATAATCTTCATTTATGATTTCACTTAACTTTATGTCATCTTGGTAAATAAAGGAGTTTAGAAGCCTTTCAAAACTTTTCATATAAATTTCATATTTATGTCTAACTGTGTTAAAATTGCAGTACTCAATAACTATCTTTCAGGAGAAAACAGAGTTTACCAGCAGAATTGAGAAAATAATTCAGGAAATTCCTCAGATATATGCCTGGATTTTCAGTAAAATCAGTTACTAAGCATCTGTGTTATAACCTCCCTAGTATATGTCTAATTTTCTTCCTGGAAGATAATGAATTGCTATTATGTTCATCTTATTTCTTCTTTAATACATTGTATGACTTCCAAAATTAGAGCATTTTTCTTTGTCATATTCCTCTATTCCTTTCTAACCTTTAACTATCTTAATCTTTAAGAAAATGGGGATGGTTTCTGACCGCATCCATGAGCTTGCCCAAGCGTGAAAGGTATAGATTCCAATGTCATATTTTACTTATTTGAATGTATATCCTAAAATTGTCTGTATAGATAGAAGCTCATATCTGACATGATTTGAAGCCGTAGTCATGGACAGCATGCTATTAAAAATACTTCATAATTGATATAGCACAGCCACTTAACAAACATCTTATTAATAGATAAATGCACACTTTAGACAGTTGGTAATTGCCAGGTAAAATCTTTCCTGTCTTCAATGGTTTTATCTCCTTGGGAAGTCAATCCAGTGTTTCATAATCTTGCCAGACAAATTCTTCAACTTCTACATGCATAGATATTTTAAAGTGATCATATATATTGTTTTGTTTTGACTTTTGCTTCCATACTTCTTCCTCCACACCTGGTGCAGGACACACAGAAGTTGATTGGCAGAAGCCTAATACCTGGAGTAGTATTCTTCTGATAGAGAAAAGTAGAAGGGTCGAGAGCTTCTTGAAGCTATGTAATGCCTGTAGTGGCTTAAGTTTTGACACAGTCATTTTCTCCCCATTATCCCCATCTTTGAAAAAAAGACAATAGTGCAAGCATCTCCATAGGCCACGGGGTAAATAATCCGTTGTCTTTGGGGGGAATTCAACCATATTTTAAGTCATTAGCCATGAACCAATGTCATTTATTAAAAGCAATGGTCTTTTCTAATACCTTTCTGAAAGCATTCTTCATGCTCTTATTCCTGAGGCTGAAGATGAGGGGGCTGAGGAAAGGAGTTATGACAGTGTAAGGGATGGCAATGAGAGTGTCGTCACCCCCTGTGGCCTCTGGCTTCAGATAAACAATAGATGCAAATCCAAAATGGATGATGACCACTGTGAGGTGAGAGGCACAGGTAGAAAAGGCCTTCTGCTTGCCTTCGGTTGAAGGAATCCTTAGAACGGTGGAAAGAATGAAAACGTAAGTGAGGATGATGAGCAGGAATGTAGCTAGCAATCCTGTCATTGGGATCAATGATACAATAAGCTCTGTAAGATCACTATCTAGACAGGACAACTTCAGAACTGCCCGCATATGGCAGAAGAAGTGTTTCACGAGATTGGGGCTGCAGAAAAAGCCATCAAATACCAATGCAGTCTCTGTAACAGAGACAAAAAATCCTCCAACCCAAGCACAGGCCACTAGTTGCTTACATACCACATTGGTCATCAGCTGTGGATATCTGAGAGGGTTGCAGATGGCCAGAAAGCGGTCATACCCCATTAAAGTGAGAAGGACGCAGTTGGTGCCACCAAGTCCCAAGAAGAAACACATCTGCAAGCCACAGCCAATGGCTGAGATGCTTCTGTTATTGGCTAGTAGATCTGACAGCATCTTGGGGATGATGCTCAATGTGTAGCAGGTCTCAGAGAAGGACAGTGCACTCAGGAAGATGTACATAGGGGTGTGGAGGTCTCTGTCTACCCAGGTTAGGCCCATGATGGTCATATTACCCAAGAGAGTGACAAGATAAAGGAAAAAAAATATCACAAATAGTAATATCTGCACATCTGGGTAATGAGAAAACCCAACAAAGATGAATTCCTTAATGATTGTCTGGTTGTTCTTCATTGTTTGAAATCTGAAAGAAATAACAAATGCATATTTCTACAATCATTCAACCCTCCATTATTTCTTTGATATCATCACATGAAAATTTTGGTGTAAGTAGGGCAAATCATTCGAAAGTTCCTAATACCATTTCACTTAGTGAAACAGCAATTGATGTATGCAGAGGATGTGCTTTACCTTTCCTAGAACATGGCTATATTTAGGAATGATATAATCATGAACTATTCTCTGGCCAGATTGTTAAAGGATTTTATTAGCAGATAATACGATAAGAAAAAATTTCTATTTAATATCCAAATAAAGGAGATTGCGATGTTGCACTAGGCCAGCTAGATTTAGATCAGATCCTGCATACTGAATAAACTGTGGCTAATTGGTAGTATTATTTTCCCTTAGTGTACTATCTATTAATAAAATTGTAAATAAATATTAGTATATGTTCCATTATTGTATTATATGTTAATAAAATCCTACAGTTAGAAAACCAAAAAGGAAGAGTGTACTCAGCATATCTTCAACCAAAAGAACTAAAGAAAAATGTCAAACCTCGAATTGCGAGATTGATTCCATGGGCAAGAAAGATTCTATGCACAAAATATTGAATGATGCAGGAAGCATCAAAGGAATTGGAAAGAATACACAGCCACTATACCAAAATAAACTAATTGCCTTCAACTATTTCAAGAGGCAGTATATGAGCCAGAACCAAAGGAAGAAGATCAAGCTGTTCTGAGGGAATGGCCCCAAAACAAGGCTTGGGGAATTGATAAAGTTCCAATTACAATGTTTCAACACGTTGATGAGACACTGCAAGCATTCATTCTTCTGTGCCAGGGAATTTAGAAGACAACTATTTGGCCAACTGACAGGAAGCGATCTTTATTTTTATCATTCCAAAGAAAGGTGATTCTAAAAAAATCCACAAATCGTAGAACAATATAATTGATATCACATGAAGGTAAATTTTTGCTGAAAATCCTCCAACAATGGTTGCCTCAATATATTGACAGAAAGCTGCCAGAGCGTCAGGGCGGATTCAGAAGAGCATGTGGAACAAAGGATATCATTGTTCATGTTAGAGGTATCCTGGCTGAAAGCAGAAAATACTAGAAAGATGCTTACTTGTGTTTCTTTACGCTAAGGCGTTTTACTGTGCAGATCATAGCAAAATGGGAATGCATTCAAGCAGAACCTGTACATGGATCAGAAGGCAGTGTTGTAATCAGAACAAGGGAATACTACATGGTTTAGAGTCAGAAAAGGTGAACATCAGGGTTGTTTCCTATCATGCACTGATTCAATCTGTATGCTTAAGAAGTAATTAGAGCAGGTGGACTATATGAAGAAGAATCCATCATCAGGATTGGACAAATTCTTATTACCAGCCTGCAATATGATGAAGACACAACCTTGCTTGCTGAAAGGAAGACTTGAAGTACTTGACAAAGGTCAAGGATTGCAGCCTTCAGTATGAATTACGATTCAATACAAAGAAAGTCAACATTTCCACAATTGGACCAATAAGTAACATCATAATAAATGGAGAAAATATTGAAGTTGTCAAGGATTTCATCTTTCTGGGACTCCACAATCAATGCTCATGGAAGCAGTAGTCAAGAGATCAAAATATACGTGGCATTGGGTAAATTTGCTGCATAAGACTTCTTTTAAAAGATGTTACTTGTTACTTTGAGGTCAAAGGTGGACCTGGACCAAGCCATGATATTTTCAGTTACCTCCCATGCATGTGAAAGTTGGACATTGAATAAGGAAGACACACACACACACACACACACACACACACACAAACTACAATGCATTTGAACTACGGTGTTCATGACGAATACTGAAAATACCAAAGACTATGAAAAGAACAAATATATCTGTCTTACAAAAAGTATAGCCTGAATGTTCCTTAGAAACAAGAATGGTGAGACTTGGTCTCTTGTACTTTGGACATGTTATCAAGAGAGACCAGTCCCTGGAGAAAGACATCATGCTTGGTAAAGTGGAGAAGCAGCAAAAAAGAAGACCCTTAATAAGATGGATTGACGCAGTGGTTGCAACAATGGGCTAAAGCATACGAATAATTGTGAGGATGGTGCAGGATTAGGAGGTGTTTTGTTCTGCTGTACATAGTGTTGCTATGAGGTGGAACCGCCTCAATGGCATCTAACAACAGCAGTATCAGTAGCCAACACAGAAACGTTGACACACTATATATGTTGTAAGTACGGACTAGGTTAGGCTAAAAGTTGATCTAGTAATTGTAGGACCTAATCTAGACTATAGCTTACATTGTTACGGAAGTCTAAGGCCATTAGCTCTTACTGAAAAATGCATTTGGTCTGAGATATCAAAGGAAAATAAAGAATATGTGTCCTTCACTCCACTCTGAGGGCAGAGGAGGGAAAAAAACTAAGATATTCAATATTAATCAGGAATCTTCAGACAAGGATTAATAGTAACTTTGTACAAGGATAGAGAAGATAGCAATTGGGATTTTTTTCATTTCTTCAACACCAACTTACCATTCTATAAAATGATGCTATGAAATCACTCTGTGACATTTTAATGATTCTACATCTGATTTACTTATTTATTCTCACTTTTTATTATCAATCAGGTTGGGGTTTACATATCAGATCATCATTTTTACATTCAACAACTTAAACAATTTCTACGCCTCATTTAGTCTCATTCTTCTCTGACTTGTATAACATGTCGCTACATTTATATTTACCACTCTTCCTTGCCCAGCACTATATTAAAATGTTACTTCTTCTCCCATGCATACTAATACATTGATGACTAACATTTATAGTTCTTGATATTGCTGAAATGTTTTAAATGTTTATGATGATATTTTATATTTACAGTAGAACTATGAAAGGGCATGCAACAACTGTGAAGTATTTCGTATAGTTCTGATTATTTTACTTACTTAAAAAATATGTCCATTGTATTTACCAAAAATGAATCAAACCCACTGCCAGTGAGTTGATTCTGACTCATAGTGACTCACTAGGAGAGTAGAACTGCTCTAGAGAGTTCCCGTGTGGTTGCAAATGATCTCTTTAAAGTGTTCACAATGAAATGAACCTGCTGTTGTGTGGTGTTCAGTGGACTCTGGCTCATAGATCTCTTACACTGCAGAATAGAGTTGCCTTATAGGTTTTCCTGTGCTACTGCAAAAGATGTTTGAAGGTGATTCAAAGCAAATATATCACTTTGAAGATTAAGGTATGTTCGACCCGAATCAAAGCCAAACCCACCGCCATGGAATCAATTCCTGTAGGAAAGCAGAATTGTTTGTCTGGGGTCCCAAATTTTTAAATCTTAATAAGATCAGATAGTCTCATTCTTTCCCTTTGGACCTACTGGTGGTTTTGAATCTCTGACCTTGTGGTTAGCAGTTCAATGTATAAACCATCACACCACCCAAAACAATCATTGCATTTGACCCAATGCATGGGCATTTTCAATCACCTCATATGCATAGAAAAGATAGACAATAAATAAAGAAGACTGAAGAAGAATAAATGTCTTTAAATTATGGTGTTGGTGAAGAATAGGAAATATACTGTGCGTTGCTTGAAGAATGAACAAATGTGGTTTGGAATAAATAGAGGCTGAATACACCTTAAGAACCGATGGAAAGACATCGCAGCAGTTTTGGACGTGTTATGGGAGGGACAGCCTAGTGCTCCTTCAGAGTCTGTGCTTAATCTGGAAGCTCTGCTAAAACCTATTCACGTTGGGTACCCTGCTGGATTTGAAATACCGATGACATAACTTCCAACGTCACAGCAACACACAAGTCATCACAGTATGACAAATTGACAGACAAATCAGGAATAGGCTGTCAACATCTGAGGAATTAGCCACTGACAATTTTACAGACAGAATCAAAACATTGTCAGACACTGAAAACCCCGTGTAAAGAAGCAGAACATTGTCGGAGTTAATGCCAGAAGATAAGGCCCTTAAGTTAGGAGACACTCAAAATATGACTGAGAAAGACCTGCCTTCTCAAAGTAGAGGAGACAATAATGGCATGGATGGAGGACAGCCTATGGGAGTAAAGCCACCGGGCCCTCCTTTTCTGATGGGGCCCAACTCAAGATGAGAAGAAATAGCTGCAATGTATAAAGTATAAACCTAGGAAAAGTGGAAGTTATAAAATATGACATGGAACACATAAAAATCTACATTCTAAACATTAGTGAGCTGAAATGTACTGATAATGGCCATATTGAATCAGACAATCCTATGATTTACTATGTTGGGAGTGAAACAATCAAGAGGAACACCATTGCAATCATCATCAAAAAAGACATTTCAAGATCTATTTTGAGGCAATGCAGTCTGTGATAGGATTTGCATTTGTATATTTGCATTCAAGAAAACAACGAGTATTCAAATGTATGCACCAACTGCCAAACCTAGTGGTGAAGCCGAAGTATTCTATCAATGTCTTCCATGTGAAACTGAGCAAACACACCCTCAAGATGCATTGATAATTATTGGTGATTGGAATACAGAAATTGGAAACCAGGAGGAAGGAGTAGTCGTAGGAAAAAAATGGCATTGGTGATAGAAACGAATCTGGAGATGTCATGACAGAATATTGCAATAACAATGACTTGTTCATAGTGAACACTTTTCAACAACTCAAAATTATCTGTACATGTGGACTTCTCCAGATGGAGTAGACAGAAATCAAACTGACTATATCTGTGAGAAGAGACGATGGAGAAAAGATCAGGTGCTAAAACCAGGCCAAGGGCAGCCCAAGAAGAAAAAGAAAAATCTTATAATGAAATGTGCAAAGACCTAGAGTTAGAAAACCAACAAGGAAGAATACACTCAGCAGATCTCTAACTGAAAGAAGTCAAGGAAAAAATTCAAGCCTTAAGTTACAATTCTGAAAGATTCTTTGGGAAAATGCTGAATGATGCAGGAAGCACCAAAGGAAGATATAAAGGTCTTGGCTGAAAGCAGAGAATACCAGACAATGTTGACCTGTTTTATTGACGATGTTTA